AAAAAAAAAAAAAAAATTCATACAGAAATCCAAGGGACTCAGAAGACCGACAACAATTTTGAAAAAGAAGAACACAGTTGGAGAACTTACCACCTCCCGGTTTCAAAACTTACCACAAAGCTACAATAATCCAGACAGTATGGCACAGGCATCAGGATAGACACACATCAGTGGAGTTAAACTGAGAGTCCAGACATAAATCCTTACATTTACGAGATAACCAATTTCAACAAAGGTGCCAAGACAATCCAGTGGAAAAAGAATAGTCTTTCCAAAAACTGGTCTGGGACAACTAGATATGTACATGCAAAAGCATGAAGCTGGATCTTCCTATTTTACACCATATATAACAAACACCATCATAAAGTGAAAGGTGGGAGGAAGCCAGACAGCCCATTCCCAAGTGAATGTAATGACCCCCAAAATCATAGGGGGAAATGGAAACAAGTCAGGACAAAGATCTCAAATTCAGCTTCATCACATGTGAGATGTCTCTGTCCCCTTTGTTTATTCCGCCTTCACTCAACAAGTTCTTTACTAAGGGTCTACTATGTACCAAGCCCTGAGGAAACAAAGCAGTGAGCAAAACAGACATACTATTCTGAGCTTCCTCATGACCCCTCCGTCACAGAATCCCATCCAGCATACAGAACGCAAAGAACGCATACCTACCATTGCCAACCTGTGGAGCAATGGCTTCAGCCTCAGGCCAAGGTGTATTCTTGAAGAATCTTTCAGTCAATTTGGTCCAGCTGAAAATCAAGCAGAAAAATTCTAGAACCCCAAAACAGGAAGCATCAAAGAGGCAACCCACACATTTTATGGATAAGGACCCAGGCTCATAAAGAGGAAGATGTCACAGAAACAAAGTCAGGGCCAGAACCCTCCAAGTTTACAACTTTCCTCAACCCAAAGCTACACCTCAACTTTTCTTAATACGGTGAACACTCTCCTTTTTATCAGTTATGCAACCACCATGCTCTTCAGGATCATTTCCTGCCTCTGTATCATGAACTCTACTCATACATAACAGCTTACTGTTCCCTGATCTGGTAACTACTTTTTAGACACTCCCACCCTTCCCCCCTTAGCAATATTTTCCCTACTTTCCCAGAGCACTGTGCCTCCTCCCCCTATCCAAACTTGGAAGAAAATCAGTCTGTTTGTCGCAGTCTGATCCCAAAACAGACCCACAGCACCCAACCCAAACACTGGTGCCCAAGATGCCTCACAGCCCTGATCCCCTCAGGAGCGACTTCAGCTTTCTCCCACTCTCCTTAAGCCCCACCTCTCCTCTTCTCCAGATCTTTCAGTTTAGCATAGAAACATATTCAAGTCCCCACTTCAAAATATATAAAAAAACACAAAGCATCTCAGTAACACTGTATTTTCCAAGGCACCAGCCATTCTTCTCACCACACATTCTCCTACAGGAAGATCTACCACATGCTTGGCTTCAACTAGTCTATATCTGCCTGTACTGTCCAATACAGTAATTATTTGCCACATGTGATTATTGTGACTAAAGAACTGAATTTCAAATTTTTGTTAATTTTAACCAAAAAACCAATACTTAGTTACTGGAAAACATTCAAGTAAATTTAAGTTACCTGGATATGTGAATCTGCTTTTTCTATTGTAAATGCTATGAAATCTAAATAGAGATCAGGTATTTCCAACATACACAAACTGAGATGTGGTATAAATACAAAAGATAGGGTTTAGAAGACTTAGCATGAAAAAAAAGTAAAGTAACTCATTAACAGTTTAGTACTGATTATGTGTGGTAATATTTTAGATGTTGAAATAAGTTGGGGCGCCTGGGTGGCTCAGTTGGTTAGGCGACTGCCTTTGGCTCGGGTCATGATCCTGGAGTCCCTGGATCGAGTCCCGCGTCGGCCTCCCTGCTCGGCAGGGAGTCTGCTTCTCCCTCTGACCCTCCCCCCTCTCATGTGCTCTCTCATTCTCTCTCTCTCAAATAAATAAATCTTAAAAAAAAAAAGAAGTTATGAAAATTAATTTCACCTTTTTTTTTTTTTAAGTCATCTCTACACCCAATGTGGTGCTCAAACTCACAACCCTGAGACCGAGTGGTACACTCCACTGATTGAGACAGCCAGGTACCCCTCCTTCTACATTTTTTAAACGTAGCTGATGAAAAAAATTTAATCACACCTGTGGCTAGTGTTATTATTTCTATGGGACAGCACTGATCTACATACTTCAACTAGAAAGACCTGGAGATGAAAGAAAAAACAGTTCATGGATTAATTCTATTCATTAATCCAAAAAGCCTTTGGCTATTCATTTTGTCCACCCACCCTCCCAGGAATTAATTAATTATTTTAAATTTATTTACTTATTTTTAAGTAATCACTACACGCAACATGGAGCTCGAACTCACGACCCTGAGATCAAGGGTCACGTGCTCTTCCAACCGAGCCAGCCAGGCACCCCTCCCAGGAATGGTTTAAATTCTATATCCCTGGTGAAGTCTTTTCTGACTATCTCAACCCTAACTAACCTGTCTCATCTCTAATGCAATTACACAAGGGCAATCCCCTCAAAACAGAAGCAACCACTCAAAGTTTGGCTCACCCTGTTATGCATTAACTTGTACAGTAACTTAAAAATTAGACTCTGGGGGCACCTGGGCGGCTCAGTCAGTTAAGTGTCTGCCTTTAGCTCAGGTCATGATCCTGGAGTCCCTGTATCCCAACTCCAGGTCCCCAGGTCCCTGCTCAGCAGGAAGTCTGCTTTCTCCCTCTCCCTCTGCCCCTCTCCCTGCTCCTTCTCTCTCTCTCTGATAAATAAATAAAATCTTTAAAAAAATTAGGCTGATATCAGGCTATGCCAGTTCAAAACTCAACATATGCATTCAACTAGCTATATGACTTACCCTTTCTATGCTTTTTCCCTCATCTGTAAGATAAAGAAAATAATACTACCTACTCCATGGGGTTACTGTGAAGAGTAATGAGTAAATACAGGAAAAGCATTCTGAACACTGCCTGATCTATACTGGTCAGACATACTAATTGCTGCTATGATTACTGATAATGATATTATTATTTTAGGCCCTATACAAGTTCTAGGAATACAGTCCAAAAAAATAACATGTCTCCTCACAAGGAATTACAGAAACTCCTTGGGCACTCTCTTTACAGAGAAATGACTAAACAGCATCCCCCCCCTTAGGGACTGTATCAGTAAACCAGTCCCACCCAGAAAGAGGGTCATTTCAGTCAGCACTCTGTACCTGTTCTCATAGATGTCCTGGATCTCATATACCTTCTGATCAATGACATCGCTGGATACACGACTGGCCTGCAGCTCATACACCTTCTGGTCAATCAAATCTGAGACAGTTTTGTGGAAATATTGGATGAAGTTTTTGATCACTTCGGGGATCACCTGATAGGTCTGCTGTTCATACTGACGTTCATAAGCCAGATCCTGCTTTGGATCTCCTAGAGATTGGATATAATAAATACTTTACCACGTGTTTTCAAACCCACATATGTTACAAAACAAAAGGGCAAGACCATCCCCCAAACAAAACTCAAGTCTATAAAATCAGGTACAATTCCCTTTTAAACACTCAAAGATTTAATTGTCCCCAACTCACTCTCAATCCCATCGTCCTGTTTCTTCAGAACATTTACCACTATTTACAATTACATACTTGCTTATTATCTGTTACTTCCACTAGAACCTAAATCCTATGAGGGCAAGAACCTTGTCTGTCTTGTACTCAGGTATACCCTCGCACCTAAAACAGTTATATGTGTGTTGGAAGAGAGGGGAAAACCGTGGGAAGGGGAAGTAAGTAGGAGACACCTTATACACATACATTTTAAATATATACATTTATATATTTTTTTAAGTAGGCTCCATGCCCAGCATAGAGCCCAACAGGGGGCTTGAACTCAAGACCCTGAGATCAAGACCTGAGCTGAGATCAAGAGTTGGACGCTTAACCAACTGAGCCACCCAGTGTCCCAGCACTTAATATTCATTGAATGAATGACTGTTATTTTCTACCTATACAACAGTGCAAGTTACTAAACTTCTCTGCTCAGTTTTCTCATCTGAGAAAATGGAGACAACGTTAATTTAGGTACTTGTCGTAAGGACTAAACGAAACACTTCGCACAAAATACCTGTAAAAATGCATGGCACTTACAAAATGCTAAGCCAAGCCAACTCATTATAGTATTTCAGGAAACCTCAAAACCTTCCAAAAAGATTTCATCTGGGCTTGGTATAAATCACTAATTTTTCACAACAAGATTTTCTTCTTCAGCAAGTAGTTTAATAAGGAAACCACAGCCAGGATTGTAAGCCTTCCCTTCTGAGACTTTGAGGTGGACCATGAAAAAGGCCTGATTTATTAGGCTCTATCCCACCCTCCTTCTAAGAACTAATAACTGACTCCAAACCTGGACCATGGAGAAGCAGTGTTTCACAGATGCCCGTCAGAGCTGTTCTGAGACATTCAAAAAGGTGCCAAACCCTAGAAGTACCCAGCTAGCCAGACAAGCCCGTAGTCTCACCTGTGTGCATATCATAGTCGCCTGGGTATGCATAGGGATCATAAGCAGCCTATTAACGAAAGAGAGATAGGAACAGTCACCAATTCATGAATCCAAAATGCTCGTTCGAGGACCTATGTGCCAAGTACTAAGGATTCAAAAGTGGATAAAACACAATCCCGACCTTTGAGAAACTCACATGCCCGTGAGAGAAAGGAGAATTGGCAGAAAATACAACGTTACGCGTGCAACAAAGCAAAGCAAAGCACAAGAGGCTGTGGGAACCAACGGGGACTGACAAAAGTGAGCCAAGCCCACAGGAGCTAAGTTACAGAAACAACCCCATAACCAGCCTCCGTCTCCGATCTCGGAAAACGACAGGACGAGGAGACCGGACTTGCGAAGTGGGCGGGCAGAGACCCGGCCGGTGAGGAGCCGCAAGCAGTGGAAACAGCGTGAGGGCCGCGCACGCCGCAAGGCAGACCGCAGCTGGTCGCGGCCCGTGGAGGCTGGCAGAGAGGCCCGGACACCGTCTCACCGCGGGGCCCAGCATTCAGAGAACCCTGCCTCCATGGCGGAGCCCAGTAAACGCGCAAGGCCCGCTTACCTCGGACTCGTAATCATCAGCCGGATAAGACATGGCTGCGGGACTCAGGAACACCGCCGGAAAGAATGAAAAGTGCGGCCCGCGCCTGCGTCGTGAGGCCGGAAGTTCAGCCCTCCTGGGCCCGCCGGGAAGCCGGAAGTCTTTAAGAAGCCGCTAGCGATATGAGACTGCCACATTAAGAAGGACGAAGATGACAAACCCCTGAATTTTTCTTCTTTCTTCAAACAGGGGCTCTACAAAGAAGCGTAACTCTTTAGCGCTTGCGTAAATTCAGAAATAAGGTTGGACTACTTCGGCATAACAAATGGGCAAAGTAAGAGACACCAGAAATAATGCCACACAAAAGATGGCTGACAGCCTCCTCAGGCGATTTCTCGCGAGAAGGGAAAGTCGGGTATGGGGGCCTATTGTTGGTTTTAGGTGTAAGTTAAGTTTGCCTGCGGCAAGACATGTCTTGAAATATTCGGCCTCAGAAGGGTAAACTTACTGGTGTAAAAGTTGAGAACTGGTCCCATGCAGCGAGGGGTCATTGAGAAAAGGCGCCTGCCGACTTTGGACAATAAGGTTGGAGCAGGCAGTGTGAGGACAGCTGTGGTGTGGGGCCCAGGAGGCAGTCCTGGGACCCACCCCGGCAGCATCCACGCTTAGGCTGAGGTCATTTTCCCCTCGGGAGGTAGGGTAGGTTCGCCTCCCAGAGAACCCTCGAGTTAGGGATGGGGTTTTAAAACCAGCAGAAACCAGCATGTGGATCAAGGACGTTCGTACGGTCGTCTGCCCATCCACAACACCTGATAGAAATCTGGATTCCAGTCCCTGCTCTGCTACTGATTTGCTGTGTGACCAGGAATTTGTATAACCCATCTTAGGACCCAGCCTCCGCTGCTTCTAGTCAAACAGTTCTTCCTTCTTTTCCCTGTGAGGCACAGTCTGCCTGTGGTCTTTCGCATTCACATTTACTGGTGTAGATTATAGAATGCATTCCTCCCAGATGTCTGCAAGGCTGGCTCTGTCACCTTCAGTTCTCTGAGCATCCTGTTTAGAATTGCGATGCCCTGCCCCGCCCCTTGGGTCGCTTTTTTGCTTTGCTTTTTACACCTGAACCTAATCTAACATTGTATGTTAACTATACTGGAATTTAAAATAAAAATAAGTTCTTTTTGCCGCATCTCCTGCGAGAATGAAGACCATTCTCAGCAATCAGACTGTCGACATTCCAGAAAATGTCGACATCTCTCTGAAGGGACGCACAGTTATTGTGAAGGGACCCAGAGGAACCCTGC